AAAAGAGGTTTACGTCCTCAGCCAGAGTAGGACTGTCAGCTGAGGGTGGTGGTGGTTTCCTCTTGTAGTCCGTAATAGCCCTGATGCCCTCCCAAACCTGCGTTGGGTTTGTGGTGTTCTCAAACCTGGCCTCAATACACCTCCTATAATGTCGTTTGGCAGTATTGATGCCACTCCTCAAGTTAGTCCTTTCAGCACTATATGCCTCCTGGTCCCCGGAGTTGAAAGCAATATTCCTAGCTCGGATAAGTTGTTGAACTCTGTGTGTCATCCAGGGTGGAGTATTGGGAAACACACGGAATTGTTTCCAGCCTGTTATGTTGTCCACACAGAACCAGATGTAATCCAAGACAGTGGAGGTGTAACTGTCCAGTGCAACACGATTGACGATGTCCTGCTCTTTGAATACTTCCCAGTCTGTGTGGTGGAAACAGTCTTGGAGCATAAGAATAGCGTCCTGCGGCCATGTTCTCACGGTTCTGATTGTAATCCCAGTGTAATCCCAGTATGAGGGAGGAGTTGCCATATATATTCCAAATCACATTCCGGTTAAGATCAGAGAGGGCCTCATGTCAAGTGATGTTGAAATGTTGTGGCTTCGGGTGCACCTGCTTCGTTTAAAACCGTTGCTGATAGGAAGCTTTTACAGACCACCTAGCTCCAACAGACAGTATTTAGATAATCTGTGTGAACTGATTGATAGAGTATGTGATGGGAATAAAGAGGTGTATTTATTAGGAGGGTTGAACATTGACTTTCTTTCTTCATGCTGTCCACTCAAAAAGAAACTTCTCCCTGTAATGAGTGTCTGTAATTTGACTCAAATCGTCCAACAGCCTCCCAGAGTGTGCACTAACAGTACTGGAACCACATCATCTACGTGCATTGATCACATCTACACTAATGCAGAAGAACTTTGCTCACAAGCCATATCAGTGCCTACAGGATTTAGTGATCACAATCTAGTAGCTGTATCCAGAAAAAACAAAGTACCCAAAGCTGGGACTAAAATTGTGTTAAAGAGCTCATATAAAAGATTCTGTTGTGAATCGTATATAGACGATTTGAAAAACATTGATTGGTCTGCTGCGAGTAACGAGAGAGATCCAGATGCTGCACTTGATGTATTTATGCAACTGTTGCTCGCAGTGACTGATATGCACGCACCTGTCAAGAAAGTGTCTGTCAAATCAGTTATTTCCTCTTGGATTGATGAGGACTTAAAACAAGGTATGACTGAAAGAGACAGAGCAAAAGGTGTGGCAAATAAATCTGGCTGTGCATCTGATTGGCTGACCTACTGTAAATCAAGAAACAATGTCACTAAGTTGAACAAAAAGAAGAAGAAAATATATTATGAAACAAAGATAGATAATGTAAAGCATGATGGGAATAAACTGTGGAGCACCCTGAACAATATCATGGGGAGGAACAGCGCTTCAGTCTCTTCTTTCATAGAATCATCAAATGGGTTTTTTATAACTAAGCCTGTAGATATTGCCAATTATTTTAATGATTATTTTACTAGTAAAGTGTATAATTTAAGGAAGGACATGACAACCAGCTGGGAACTATCATACTCAAGTATTAAAGAGCGAATTACGAAAGACAAGAACTGCAAATTTGAGATGTGTAAAGTGAGACTTGAAGATGTGACAAAACTACTGCTGTCTATTGATAATGGAAAACCATCTGGCATTAACAACTTAGATGGAAAACTACTGCAGATAGTTCTCTCAGTCTTCAGTGTAATGGGTTTTCTAAAACATGGAGAGAAGCTAAAGTTATACAACTTGCCAAGAATGCTAGAGCTTCCTTTACAGGACCTAACAGCCGACCAATCAGTCTGTTACCTGTTCTGAGCAAACTCTTAGAAAAAATGTATTTGACCAGATACAATGCTATCTCTCTGCGAATAACCTGTTATGTAACTATCAGCCCGCTTATAGGGAAGGCCACTCAACATGTACAGCACTCAGACAGACAACAGATGACTGGAGGAAACAGACTGATCAAAAACACATTGTGGGAGCAGTACTGACAGATTTCAGTGCAGCATTCGATGTGACTGATCATAAATTACTATTGGAAAAACTTAGGTGCTATGGTTTTGCTCCATCTGCCCTCTGCTGGATAGAAAGTTATCTATTCACAAAGAGTCTTCTTTAATGATAGTTTATCTCATCCAAAACTCATCACGTGCAGAACCCCGCAAAGGAGCTCACTGGGTCCTCTAATGTACTCTGTTTTCACCAATGATCTACCACTAGCACTGAATAAAGCTTTTGTATCCATGTACGCAGATGATACAACAATCTATGCACATGCACCCACAGCCTCTGAAATGACTGCACAACTAAATAAAGAGGCACAGACAGTCCTAGACTGGGTTATTACTAACAAGCTAGTCTTAAATACATCAAAGACTAAGTGCATTGTATTTGGTACAAAATCACTCTTTGAAAATGAAACGTCAACTGAACCTGAAGCTGGACAATGCAACTATTGAGCAAGTGAAGGAAACCAAGCTTCTTGGTGTTACACTAGACAGTAAACTGGAAAAATGGGAAGGAACATATCTGTTATTAAGAGATGTTCCACATTCTTAACACCACCCTTAATGAAACAACCTGCAGACTCTGGTGTTATCACTCTTGGATTACTTGGATTACATTACTAATGATTTGCTCAAGTGCAACTAAAAAGGAGCTTGGAAAACTTCAACTAACTCAGAACAAAGCTGCTCACCTTGTCCTGGGGGCTACATTAAGATCAAATGTGAACAATATGCATGCCAGCCTCCATTGGTTAAAGGTTTAAGAAAGGCTAAATGCCTCACTATTTGTTTTTATGAGGAACATAATGGTGTCAAAGCTTCCTCAGTGCTTACACAGTCAAATAATGTTCAGCTCTGGCACACATGCCGACCCTCCCAGACCTGCTGCCAGAGGTCTTTACACTGTCCCACCAACTAGAACAAAACTGAGTCAATATACAGTGATGTACAGAGCCATGGTTAAGTGGAACTCACTGCCTCTTCAGATCACTGCAGCCAATAACAAATTAAGGTTTAAAAAAGAAGTGAAGAACTATTTTTTAGCCCTTTACAATAAGTAAGCAGTAATGAATTCTATTAGAAATGATATTTTAATGATTTTAATCTTTGTATAACTGTTTTATTTGTAAGTGTCTTATTTGGTGCTGTGTGTTATATGTGGACCCCAGGAAGAGTAGCTGGTGTCAAAGACATCAGCTACTGGGGATCCAAATAAAATGAAATCAAAATCAAACACAGAAAACACACAAGCACACGGCTGAAGCTCAGCCAGTGCAAACATATCTCCTCATTTCTCTTTCATGTATTGCTAGGCTCAGTTAACCAGCACGACTACTAAAATGTTACCACAGGGCACGTAAAGCTTGACATTCACTCAGATTTTCCAGAATTCTCCATTACGTCTTGTGTGACATCAACACATTTGATGAGACAAAATAACTGCAGTGCAGAGGACATACAGGTTTAAGTGGAGTGGACTTGCTGATGACAAAGGCTCTGCATACTTGAACAATGACAAAGCTCTGAGTAATGTTATAAGGTAGGTGACCATGTAATTTTAAGTTGTTGAACTTGTTAAAAAATAAGTGAAACTCCCTAATAATCATAAGCTTCTCAGAACTGTGCCATTGTTTCTAAGTTTTTCTTTTTTTCTCAGCTTGGCTCAAGGATCTGTCACGCTAAGGAGATAATAACCAGTTGAGACTGGTCATGCAGGTCTTTACAATGCATGCAGGTCTTCTGCAGTCACCAGCATGTCTTTAGAGTAAATAATGTCATTGCACCTCAAAGGGGCAAGGAGGAGAGGCACTTTATTTTGGAGGATTTGTTTGAATAATCTATGCCTCCAGTGCCCACATGAAGTGCACTCTGACTGCACTCCACCCACAAATTTCTATTTCACCCTTATTTAAGTATGTATCTGAGACAATAATGTACTTACAGTTATCTTACTTTTATTTTAAAGCTTTTAATACCTCTTCACACAGTTAAGGGGGAGACGTTTTCATGTTCTATATCTCCTCCTGCTGTTTGCACCTCTGCTGCTACAGCTCTTTCTTGGCCTACAATAGTTCCACTTCACTTGTGCATGTTTCTGGTTCATTTGATTTAGATAAGTAACAAGATAACAAGATAATAAAAGCAACAAGCAGCATTGAATTGATTGTGTCTTTGCCCACTGACTCATTGTTTACTGTTACATGTTAGCAAAAATAAATTGTGTGCTTGGTTACTGCTTTTAATGATGGGTGCTCCTGGGAGGACATCTTACAGAATGATGAGTGCATGGGTGAAGCCCATTGACTCATTGACACTATTACATATTAGGAATAATAAATACGCATGTCCCAATGCCTGCGGCGTGGGAGAGTGGTCACTGCTTAATGCTGGGTGCTACTGGGAGGAAGACGTTTTGATGCTCAATTTTGTCAAAACGGTTGGTGCTTCGCCCAATCATTGCGAAACTAAAAAGGCCCTACGCCCTGTTAGGGCTAGTATTATGTAAATTAGACAAGAACCAGGATATAATTATCAAATTGTCCATCTAGGGTAAACAAGACATGATTCAGCTCTCTCTCTCACACTCACAACAGTAGTTTAACCTGTCACGTGCTTTTCATAACAATTCACGGAAAGAGAGAAACAAAGAGGGTTCATAACTGTAGATTCATTGAGACCTGATTCTTTGAATTACAAAACATATTATTACATACATAATAATGCGCCTGTGTGCCAACAAAGTGCTAATGAAATGTCTCTCAAAGCCTGTACACAAAGAGGATGGTCAATATTTAATCCCAGGGTTTGGTTAGTTAACTCATGACCAATTATGTAACAAATGGCTCAATTACAACTGAGAGCACTGAAGCGCACCTATTTCAGTTGGTAATTATCTGTCATTAAATAAAACTATATAATATCCACTTCCCATGGTACCAAGCCACATCACACTAATAGGTTCAACGTTAACCACGGCTTACAACGGGTGAGTGATTCTTTACACTATGTTCCTTTAAAGGTGCAAAAGTTACTTTTCTGGTGGAGGGTCTGTCATCTGCTTTTGTCCATGGAGATGTTATTTGCCTGTAGGGTTGTCAAAAGTATTGAAAATCAGATACTAATTCATACTAAAACTAGTAAAGAAACTAGATACAGAAATGAAGTTGTGTATCTAGTTCAGAACCTTTCTTGAATGTATTTAGAATGATCTTGAGCTGTATCAGATAAAGTAGAAAAGCACATACAGTATACGCCCATGGACCTGGACAAATGAGGGATTACACAGATATAACACCTCTTGCTAATATAAAAGAAAGTACTATGACTTTATGTTGAAAAGCACATTCTTAAATCTCAGTCTAAATAAACTGTGTTTTTAATGATTGTTGTGTTGGAAATGGGATTGAGTATCAAGTCTATTCCTCACTATCCAAATCAAGTTTGAGATGTTTCTCTTATGACAACACTATTTGCCATAATATGAAATGCATGTTGCTACATGGAGACAAGCAGCTGTTAGATGGATCAGATATTTCTCCTCCACTGGAATTATTTTGCCACCTTCTACTAATGTTTTCATTAGTGTACACTTCAGACCTTTAAGAGTTTGGGGTCTATTGTTTCAAGTCAGCCCCAGGACCCCGAAACCCTCCCTTTTTGGACCAAGCCTCAGATGGAATTTTGTGATTGAGTCGAAAGTGGTGCTGTAATCATAGAGTGGGACACAGAATGATACTGACACGATGAGGAGTATGTATTGTTGTTTTCAATTATTGACCATTTATTGAAAATAATCTGTAAAAATGTCATTCTCAAAGACAAATCCTCTTCACAAACAGTTAGAATTCGGTTAGTTAGGGTGTCACACTGTGGCGTTACTGTCTCATTTGTAAATAGAAAATAGAAACCCCAGTTTATTAGCTTCAGATTAAGCCCAAGATGAACTCTGTGTCTCCAACGGTTCACCTGCTATAACAGAAATAACATTCTATACCCCCAGATGCACAGAATGCATACAGTGATTCTGTGGGAAAGTTACCCATTTCAGGATAAAAATTCAACTTAACCTTTTGATTTGTTTGGATTGGTTTGGATTTGTTTCAAACCTGGCCTCAAACCTTGATGTTAACATACAAGATATTATTGTTTTATATATATATATGTGTGTGTATGTATATATATATATATATATATATATATATATATATATATATATATATATATATATATATATATATATATATATATATACACATATATATATATATATATATATATATATATATAGTTTTTTTTATCTTATTTATAATATTTGAGATTTATGGTCTTTAAATGAGGGGCATAACAACATCCATTAGCTGTAGACTTTGGACGATTTGTTGCATACTACTACATTTTATTCCAACCTTTTTCTACCTTTTCTACAGTTTTTTTGTTTTTTTGTTTGTTTGTGTTTTTGCCTATATGCCATAAAGCAGTACAATATGGTCAGTGTAAGATGAATTTAAAGCAACATCAGTATGAATGCTCAGTAGCAGTTACAGTTCAAACGCTCATTCCTTCTTTATTGAGACATAATCTTGTACTACCTAGTGAAATGTGCACTTGTATATTATATTTGTATATTTCTTTCATCTTGTGAGGTCTTGTCAAAGGGGTAACAGAGTGGGTGATAAGGTTGTGTACAACTCTTCTCATTATAGAGACAGGCAATGGAATCTGTAAACAGCATCCTAATTATTTAATGTCAAAATACACTGAACATGTCTGAGATGAACAATGATTATGGGGCCTGTTAGAGTCATATTTCACATGATATCACATGGATAACTCTATGTCCTGTCAATCATCATATCACTGTTGTGATATGATGTCTTTCTGTGACCTCTTGTATACAGCTGAGATTTTATATTTCATTACTTATCTTTCTATTTTATTTTGACTTGTACATTTACATTTATATAATTATGTCTTATCTGACACATGTCCCTTGCTCTTTTTTGCTACTTAATTAGAACTTATTATTACCATTTATATTTTCGCTCTTTGTTATTATATTATATTGTGATGTGTGAGCTGCTGTGTCCTTGTGGATAAATAAAGCTTGTCAGAGTCTAAGTCTAAGACTCCATGCATACACATACTGTGTGACAGGATTATGCAGTTAGGTACACATTATTCTGAAGTGTGACCTTTTTAAGTTTTGAAAGAGCATACATTTTACTGGCTGAAAACATCTAAAATACTCCTGTAGCGAGACAATGCTCATTTGGGTCTTATTTTAGCTTCTTTAGCTTTTTTATTCAAAGGACAAAATTATTTCAAAATAACTGATTCAACAGGAACAGATAGAATAATATGTGATAGGATAAGGTCCCTAGAATGATCTCTTTCTTTCTTTCTTTTTTTTTTTTTTTTGGCATATAAAATATTAAATGCTTAAACCCTTATAAAAAACTCTCAAGAAAGCAATTTAATTATTATCAACCTCAAGTCAGAATAATGTGTACCTATCACGGGTTTATAGTCGATTTCATCAAGTGATTACCCCTGTATATCAGACAACAGGACCACGCCACAGCAATGGCAAATGATTAAGCTATTTATTAGTCAAAAGAGTGGAGCTTATTCCATAAGCCTGTATAAAAAGGGCTTCAGGGTAATTCGAGGTGTGGCAGAGGTGAGTTGTGGTTCACTGGAGCAGTGGGAGGATGAGACATAATCCTACTCCTATGTCTCAATTAATCATATTTCATTAAGTAATACAAGATTGTCTCAATAAATAATAAGTGCTTGACCTGTAATAGAATTAGGCTACTGAAAATGTGATGGTATCATTTCAAATTTGTCACTATAGAGCTTTTGGATAGGAGTCCAAACACCACAAAAAAAACAAAAAAAAAAGAATCACAGTCGTAAAGATCTTAAATTCATGTTAAACTGACAGCATCTTACAGATTTATGGCATATAATGGAAAAAAAAAGACTTGACATTGTATAAAAAAGTACAAAATGTTGGAATAAAATATAGTAATCTGCCACAAAAGGTTTATGGCTCAGGGAAGTTGATATTTTCTGCTAGATTTGATTTTGGCCATGAACCACAAACCATTTTAAAAGATACAAAACTAAAATTGAAGATTGATATTATTTTGTATATAAACATCAACTGTGCCAGGTTTGAATCAAATCCATACAGGTTTGAATTTATATCTAGAAATCAGTAACTTTCCCATGGAATGGCCCCATATGTATTGTATGACTATATGATTGAGAATTCTATATTAAAACAAAAAGATGTTCATTTTGTCTCCTTATGTCCTTTAACTTCTAAGTAAAGTGTATTTACCTTGTTGACATGTTTCAGCTGCTGGTTGTGAGCCGTTTTCAGACCTGTCCCCGGTGTCGGTAGTGACGTGTCGTATGTCAGCTGTTACGTCCGAAGCAACCTGCCAGGTCCATCAGGCTGACCACACCTAAAGGAAGTAACAACAGCTGATATACGGCACATCACCACCAACACCAGGGACAGTTCTGAAGATGGCTCGCAGCTAGCAGCCAAAACATGTCAACAAGGTAAATGTATTTACTGTATTGTCTTTAAAAGGAACTTTAAAAAGAACCCAAGAAGTTAGAGAATTCTTTATGTCGGTTTGAGGCTATAGAATGTTGATTCTGTTATATCAGATGAACCGTTGGAGACACAGAGCTCATTTTGGGCTTAATTTGAAACTAATGAATTAGGGAAATGTTCTATTTACATATGAAACAAATAATCACATACCATGGTGTCACAATGAAACTATGGAGGAGAGGATTTTTCCATCTTTTGATGATTTTGACACAATGAGCAGTTTTTGATTAGATAGATTAGTAGATTAGATTAATAGATTTTGAGCTCAGTTTTTAACATCATATCATAGGATTATAGACAACCAAGAAGTGCAGCATGTGCAGTTCAAGGGACAAAAGTATGGTGGATTGTGTGAAATGAGCTGAACACCAAATGTGGCAGCAAATGTAGCAGAAGACATTCCAAAGAAAATACTTCAAGGGAATGGTCAGTTTCATTGCCAACCAAAACAACAAAGCAGAATAAAAGGCAGAGTGCTTTCCTGTTGTGCCTCCAGAGTTCACCTGGTTCCTAGTTGTGATGCTCGGGCTTCAAGACACAGAAGGACACTTTTGTCAGTCCTCCTCTTATGCTCCACTGTGTAAATGTTGCTGCAGCTTAACTTGATTTTCCCTTTAGATCAATAAAGTATCTATTAATTAATCTAAATGGTCTAATAGGTGGAAACAATGCTACTTACACCTGTATAATGCTATATTGTTATATTCTAGTATTCTTTGGCCCAACTTTCACTATACTTTCATGCTGTATGTGACCACTTCTTACTCACTCACAAAATTCCAACTGAGCCTTGGTCCAAAAAGGAGGTTTTGGGGCTCCTGGGACCAAACAGGGCCTATTTGAAACATAAATAAATAAATAAATAAATAATCTGAACTCGTAACGGGCTGAAGCACAAAGTACATTTGGTTTTAATAATGTGTGTTTTGATTTACAGGTTAAGCCAGCATTTTCAACTCTACTGTAGAAGTTAGAACAATGACATACTGGGTAACGCGTCATCTTTACTATAATATTCTATGAATAGCATGTCTAAACAATAATCCTAATCTTTTGTGTTCATTTATTCAACAGATTACACTTGTTTTTATAGCATTCCTACTTATAGGTAAGTTGTTTTGAAAATCAGGTATGCATTTGCTTTAACTGAACTTTGTATTATTCCAATGATGCAATGTTTACAAGTCGCACTTATTAATTGCTGTCAAGAAACTTTGTCACTAGATGCGTTTCCCTCACCTTGTTTTGAAGGCACATTTTGAAGATTTGCATAAGTAAACGGAGGTGGAAATGCACAGATACTGCACAAATATCACATTTAGGACCCATAGATCGCTGTTTGTTTGCTTGCTAACAAACTGTAGTGAATATATTTTTTAAAAACATGTCACTGTTGGACTACATATCTGCACGGGACCGGAGTGGGCACAAGTGAAGAACAAAGTTAAATAATCCCATTATGCTGGTTCTTTTGCAGAGGAGCATAGATAAACAAACTTTGTTACGGGTCGTTCTTTTTCAACATACTTTGTCAAAGATTGAGACAAAAACAGCTTTGTAGGATTAGTGATGTCATGTCAGAGAAGAACCAGGTAACCTACACTCACTTATGCGCTCGTATGATAGAAAAGGAGATAAAGGGTCGCATTTGTTATGTGCTTTTCTGATGCAAATTTTGGAAATATACACATTTTATATGGATGGAAATGCATTTACTGAAAATACATTATACTATATTTAAAGCCCCAGTGTGTAACTTTCTGGTTATTCCATGGAAATAGAAAGTTAAAACCAAACTTTAGAACATTCTCAATGAAGATTGATACATTTTAAGCCACACACCATAATATTTTACCAAAGAAATGTTTACATGGAACAAGCAGAGAGAAGTCCTCTATCAGGCCAAATATGAATCAGGTTTGTGGAGATGCAAGGCCACTCAGAGTAAGGAAACATGTTTTCCAGTGAGATAAATACAACTATAATGAAAAAAAATGCTTTTATTTGCTTTTATTTAGTCTATTTTTTTATTTTTATTTTTTTTTGCAAATAAGTTACATACTGGGGCTTTAACATAGCCTACATAATGTTCCACAAAAGGTTCAGATTCATGTCAAATGATTTAACTGACTCCACTGTATCTCTAACAGGGGGCAGTAAATGCAAACCAATCCAGACTGACCGGAAAAACAATGTTAAAGAAGGACAAAACAGCATTAATGGAAACCAAGGAACCACCACCGACGACAACAACAAAGACAACAACCTAAAAACAAATTATAGTCAAGATGACAACCACATAGCCTACAGTTACGACCATGTGAACGGCAACCAAGAAAACAATGGAAACAGTGGAATAGTGGATAGCGAGGAGAACAGTGGTTCAAAGGAGTACAGCAAGGAAGATAACAACAACGAAAAGGATAAGGACAGTGGTTCAAAGGAGACCAGCAAGGAAGATAACAACATCGAAAAGTTTAAGGACACTGGTTCAAAGGAGACCAGCAAGGAAGATAATAACATCGAAAAGGATAAGGACACTGGTTCAAAGGAGTACAGCAAGGAAGATAACAACAACGAAAAGGATAAGGACAGTGGTTCAAAGGAGACCAGCAAGGAAGATAACAACATCGAAAAGTTTAAGTACACTGGTTCAAAGGAGACCAGCAAGGAAAATAACAACAACGAAAAGGATAAGGACACTGGTTCAATGGAGACCAGCAAGGAGGGTAACAACAACGAAAACTTTAAGGACACTGGTTCAAAGGAGACAAGCAAGGAAGGTAACAACAAAGAAAAGGATAAGGACAGTGGCTCAAAGGAAACCAGCAAGGAAGATAAAAACAAAGAAAAGGAGAACAGCAAGGAAGATAACAACACCGACAAGGATAAGGACAGTGGTTCAAAGGAGAACAGCAAGGAAGATAACAACACCAAAAAGGATAAGGACAGTGGTTCAAAGGAAACCAGCAAGGAAGATAACAACACTGACAAGGATAAGGACAGTGGCTCAAAGGAGAACAGCAAGGAAGATAAAAACAAAGAAAAGGAGAAGAGCAAGGAAGATAACAACACCGACAAGGATAAGTACAGTGGTTCAAAGGAAACCAGCAAGGAAGGTAACAACAACGAAAAGGATAAGGATAGTGGTTCAAAAGAGACCAGCAAGGAAGATAAAAACAAAGAAAAGGAGAATAGCAAGGAAGATAACAACACTGACAAGGATAAGGACACCGGTTCAAAGGAGAACAGCAAGGAAGATAAAAACAAAGAAAAGGAGAAGAGCAAGGAAGATAACAACAGCGAAAAGGAAAAGGACAGTGGTTCAAAGGAAACCAGCAAGGAAGATAAAAACAAAGAAAAGGAGAAGAGCAAGGAAGATAACAACAGCGAAAAGGAAAAGGACAGTGGTTCAAAGGAGACCAGCAAGGAAGATAAAAACAAAGAAAAGGATAAGGACAGTGGCTCAAAGGAGAACAGCAAGGGAGATAAAAACAAAGAAAAGGATAAGGACAGTGGTTCAAAAGAGAACAGCAAGGGAGATAAAAACAAAGAAAAAGATAAGGACAGCGGCTCAAAGGAGAACAGCAAGGAAGGTAACAACAACGAAAAGGATAAGGACAGTGGTTCAAAGGTGAACAGCAAGGGAGATAAAAAAGAAAAGGATAAGGACAGTGGCTCAAAGGAGAACAGCAAGGGAGATAAAAACAAAGAAAAAGATAAGGACAGCGGCTCAAAGGAGAACAGCAAGCAAGGTAACAACAACGAAAAGGATAAGGACAGTGGTTCAAAGGTGAACAGCAAGGAAGATAAAAACAAAGAAAAGGAGAACAGCAAGGAAGATAAAAACAAAGAAAAGGAGAACAGCAAGGAAGATAAAAACAAAGAAAAGGAGAACAGCAAGGAAGATAACAACACCGACAAGGATAAAGACAGCGGTTCAAAGGAGACCAGCAAGGAAGGTAACAACAAAGAAAAGGATAAGGACAATGGTTCAAAGGAGACCAGCAAGGAAGATAACAACACTGACAAGGATAAGGACAGCGGTTCAAAGGAGAACAGCAAGGAAGATAAAAACAAAGAAAAGGATAAGGACAGTGGTTCAAAGGAGACCAGCAAGGAAGATAACAACACCAAAAAGGATAAGGACAGCGGTTCAAAGGAGAACAGCAAGGGAGATAAAAACAAAGAAAAGGATAAAGACAGCAGCTCAAAGGTGAACAGCAAGGAAGATAAAAACAAAGAAAAGGAGAACAGCAAGGAAGATAACAACACCGACAAGGATAAAGACAGCGGTTCAAAGGAGACCAGCAAGGAAGGTAACAACAAAGAAAAGGATAAGGACAGTGGTTCAAAGGGGACCAGCAAGGAAGATAACAACACCAAAAAGGATAAGGACAGCGGTTCAAAGGAGACCAGCAAGGAAGATAACAACACCAAAAAGGATAAGGACAGCGGTTCAAAGAAGAACAGCAAGGAAGATAACAACACCAAAAAGGATAAGGACAGTGGTTCAAAGGAGACCAGCAAGGAAGATAAAAACAAAGAAAAGGATAAGGACAGTGGTTCAAAGGAGACCAGCAAGGAAGATAACAACAAAGAAAAGGATAAGGACAGTGGTTCAACTGAGACCAATGAGACCATTGAGGAGGATGACAACACCGAAGAGGGCGAGAACAGTGGCTCAAAGATGACGAGCGGAGAGGGCGAGAACAGTGGCTCAAAAATGACGAGCGGGGAAGATGACCACACTGGAGAGGGCGAGAACAGTGGCTCAAAAATGACGAGCGGGGAGGGCGAGAACAGTGGCTCAAAAATGACGAGCGGGGAAGATGACCACACTGGAGAGGGCGAGAACAGTGGCTCAACGATGACGAGTGGCGAAGGCGGCAAAAGCGGAGAGGGTGAGGGCGAGAACAGTGGCTCAAAAATGACTAGCGGGGAAGACGACCACACCGGAGAGGGCGAGAACAGTGGCTCAACGACGACGAGCGGCGAAGGCGGCAAAAGCGGAGAGGGTGAGGGCGAGAACAGTGGCTCAAAGATGACGAGCGGGGAGGGCGAGAACAGTGGCTCAAAAATGATGAGCGGAGAGGGCGAGAACAGTGGCTCAAAAATGTCGAGCGGAGAGGGCGAGAACAGTGGCTCAACGACAACGAGCGGCGAAGGCGGCAAAAGCGGAGAGGGGTGAGGGCGAGAACAGTAGCTCAACAATGACGAGCGGAGAGGGCGAGAACAGTAGCTCAACAATGACGAGCGGAGAGGGCGAGAACAGTGGCTCAAAAATGACGAGTGGGGAGGACGACCACACCGGAGAGGGCGAGAACAGTGGCTCAACAATGACGAGCGGAGAGGGCGAGAACAGTGGCTCAAAAATGACGAGTGGGGAGGGCGAGAACAGTGGCTCAAAAATGACGAGTGGGGAGGGCGAGAACAGTGGCTCGAAAATGACGAGCGGGGAAGACGACCACACTGGAGAGGGCGAGAACAGTGGCTCAACGATGACGAGCGGCGAAGGCGGCAAAAGCGTAGAGGGTGAGGGCGAGAACAGTGGCTCAACGATGACGAGTGGAGAGGACGACCACACCGGGGAGGGTGAGAACAGTGGCTCAAAAATGACGAGCGGAGAGGGTGAGAACAGTGGCTCAACGACGACGAGCGGGGAGGGCGAGAACAGTGGCTCAAAAATGACGAGCGGAGAGGGCGAGAACAGTGGCTCGAAAATGACGAGTGGCGAAGGCGGCAAAAGCGGAGAGGGTGAGGGCGAGAACAGTGGCTCAAAAATGACGAGCGGAGAGGGCGAGAACAGTGGCTCAAAGATGACGAGCGGGGAGGGCGAGAACAGTGGCTCAAAAATGACGAGCGGGGAGGGCGAGAACAGTGGCTCAAAGATGACGAGCGGAGAGGGCGAGAACAGTGGCTCAAAAATGACGAGCGGGGAAGATGACCACACTGGAGAGGGCGAGAACAGTGGCTCAACGATGACGAGTGGCGAAGGCGGCAAAAGCGGAGAGGGTGAGGGCGAGAACAGTGGCTCAAAAATGACTAGCGGGGAAGACGACCACACCGGAGAGGGCGAGAACAGTGGCTCAACGACGACGAGCGGCGAAGGCGGCAAAAGCGGAGAGGGTGAGGGCGAGAACAGTGGCTCAAAGATGACGAGCGGGGAGGGCGAGAACAGTGGCTCAAAAATGATGAGCGGAGAGGGCGAGAACAGTGGCTCAAAAATGTCGAGCGGAGAGGGCGAGAACAGTGGCTCAACGACAACGAGCGGCGAAGGCGGCAAAAGCGGAGAGGGTGAGGGCGAGAACAGTAGCTCAACAATGACGAGCGGAGAGGGCGAGAACAGTAGCTCAACAATGACGAGCGGAGAGGGCGAGAACAGTGGCTCAAAAATGACGAGTGGGGAGGACGACCACACCGGAGAGGGCGAGAACAGTGGCTCAACAATGACGAGCGGAGAGGGCGAGAACAGTGGCTCAAAAATGACGAGTGGGGAGGGCGAGAACAGTGGCTCGAAAATGACGAGCGGGGAAGACGACCACACTGGAGAGGGCGAGAACAGTGGCTCAACGATGACGAGCGGCGAAGGCGGCAAAAGCGTAGAGGGTGAGGGCGAGAACAGTGGCTCAACGATGACGAGTGGAGAGGACGACCACACCGGGGAGGGTGAGAACAGTGGCTCAAAAATGACGAGCGGAGAGGGTGAGAACAGTGGCTCAACGACGACGAGCGGGGAGGGCGAGAAACAGTGGCTCAAAAATGACGAGCGGAGAGGGCGAGAACAGTGGCTCGAAAATGACGAGTGGCGAAGGCGGCAAAAGCGGAGAGGGTGAGGGCGAGAACAGTGGCTCAAAAATGACGAGCGGAGAGGGCGAGAACAGTGGCTCAACGATGACGAGCGGAGAGGGCGAGAACAGTGGCTCAAAAATGACGAGCGGAGAGGGCGAGAACAGTGGCTCAAAAATGACGAGCGGGAGGGTGAGAACAGTGGCTCAAAGATGACGAGCGGAGAGGGCGAGAACAGTGGCTCAAAAATGACGAGCGGAGAGGCGAGAACAGTGGCTCAAATGACGAGGTTGAGAACAGTGGCTCAAAGATGACGAGCGGAGAGGGTGAGAACAGTGGCTCAACGATGACGAGCGGCGAAGGCGGCAAAAGCGGAGAGGGTGAGGGCGAGAACAGTGGCTCAACGATGACGAGCGGCGAAGGCGGCAAAAGCGGAGAGGGTGAGGGTGAGAACAGTGGCTCAACGACGACGAGCGGCGAAGGCGGCAAAAGCGGAGAGGGGGAGGGCGAGAACAGTGGCTCAACAATGACGAACGGGGAGGGCGAGAACAGTGGCTCAACGACAACGAGCGGGGAGGATGACCACACAGGGGAGGGTGAGAACAGTGGCTCAAAAATGACGAGCGGAGAGGGTGAGAACAGTGGCTCAACGACGACGAGCGGGGAGGATGACCACACCGGGGAGGGTGAGAACAGTGGCTCAAAAATGACGAGCGGAGAGGGCGAGAACAGTGGCTCGAAAATGACGAGTGGCGAAGGCGGCAAAAGCGGAGAGGGTGAGGGCGAGAACAGTGGCTCAAAAATGACGAGCGGAGAGGGCGAGAACAGTGGCTCAACGATGACGAGCGGAGAGGGTGAGAACAGTGGCTCAAAAATGACGAGCGGAGAGGGCGAGAACAGTGGCTCAACGATGACGAGCGGAGAGGGTGAGAACAGTGGCTCAAAAATGACGAGCGGAGAGGGCGAGAACAGTGGCTCAAAAATGACGAGCGGGGAGGGTGAGAACAGTGGCTCAAAGATGACGAGCGGAGAGGGCGAGAACAGTGGCTCAACGATGACGAGCGGCGAAGGCGGCAAAAGCGGAGAGGGTGAGGGCGAGAACAGTGGCTCAAAGATGACGAGCGGAGAGGGCGAGAACAGTGGCTCGAAAATGACGAGTGGCGAAGGCGGCAAAAAGCGGAGAGGGTGAGGGCGAGAACAGTGGCTCAAAAACGACGAGCGGAGAGGGCGAGAACAGTGGCTCGAAAATGACGAGTGGCGAAGGCGGCAAAAAGCGGAGAGGGTGAGGGCGAGAACAGTGGCTCAAAAATGACGGCGGAGAGGGCGAGAACAGTGGTCAACGATGACGAGCGGAGAGGGTGAGAACAGTGGCTCAAAAATGACGAGCGGAGAGGGCGAAGAACAGTGGCTCAACGATGACGAGCGGAGAGGGTGAGAACAGTGGCTCAAAAATGACGAGCGGAGAGGGCGAGAACAGTGGCTCAAAGATGACGAGCGGAGAGGGCGAGAACAGTGGCTCAACGATGACGAGCGGCGAAGGCGGCAAAAGCGGAGAGGGTGAGGGCGAGAACAGTGGCTCAAAGATGACGAGCGGGGAGGGCGAGAACAGTGGCTCAACGACAACGAGCGGGGAGGATGACCACACCGGGGAGGGTGAGAAGAGTGGCTCAACGACGACGAGCGGCGAAGGCGGCAAAAGCGGAGAGGGGGAGGGCGAGAACAGTGGCTCAACAATGACGAACGGGGAGGGCGAGAACAGTGGCTCAACGACAACGAGCGGGGAGGACGACCACATCGGAGAGGGTGAGAACAGTGGCTCAAAAATGACGAGCGGGGAGGGCGAGAACAGTGGCTCAAAAATGACGAGCGGGGAGGGCGAGAACAGTGGCTCAAAAATGACGAGCGGAGAGGGCGACCACACTGGAGAGGGCGAGAACAGTGGCTCAAAAATGACGAGCGGGGAAGACGACCACACTGGAGAGGGCGAGAACAGTGGCTCAACGACGACGAGCGGGGAGGACGATCACACCGGAGAGGGCGAGAACAGTGGCTCAACAATGACGAGCGGAGAGGGCGAGAACAGTGGCTCAAAAATGACGAGTGGGGAGGGCGAGAACAGTGGCTCGAAAATGACGAGCGGGGAAGACGACCACACTGGAGAGGGCGAGAACAGTGGCTCAACGATGACGAGCGGCGAAGGCGGCAAAAGCGGAGAGGGTGAGGGCGAGAACAGTGGCTCAACGACGACGAGCGGGGAGGACGATCACACCGGAGAGGGCGAGAACAGTGGCTCAACAATGACGAGCGGAGAGGATGAGAACAGTGGCTCAAAAATGACGAACGGAGAGGGTGAGAACAGTGGCTCAACGATGACGAGCGGCGAAGGCGGCAAAAGCGGAGAGGGAGAGGGCGAGAACAGTGGCTCAACGATGACGAGCGGAGAGGGTGAGAACAGTGGCTCAACGACGACGAGCGGCGAAGGCGGCAAAAGCGGAGAGGGTGAGGGCGAGAACAGTGGCTCAAAAATGACGAGCGGGGAGGGCGAGAACAGTGGCTCAAAAATGACGAGCGGGGAAGACGACCACACCGGAGAGGGCGAGAACAGTGGCTCAACGACGACAAGCGCGGAAGACGACCACACCGGAGAGGGCGAGAACAGTGGCTCAAAAATGACGAGCGGCGAAGGCGGCAAAAGTGGAGAGGGTGAGGGCGAGAACAGTGGCTCAAAAATGACAAGCGGGGAGGGCGAGAACAGTGGCTCAAAAATGACGAGCGGAGAGGGCGAGAACAGTGGCTCAAAAATGACGAGCGGAGAGGGTGAGAACAGTGGCTCAAAAATGACGAGCGGAGAGGGTGAGAACAGTGGCTCAACGACGACGAGCGGGGAGGGCGACCACACCGGAGAGGGCGAGAACAGTGGCTCAATGATGACGAGCAGCGAAGGCGGCAAAAGCGGAGAGGGTGAGGGCGAGAACAGTGGCTCGAAAATGACGAGCGGGGAAGACGACCACACCGGGGAGGGTGAGAACAGTGGCTCAAAAATGTTGAGCGGGGAGGGCGAGAACAGTGGCTCAACGACGACAAGCGGGGAAGACGACCACACCGGGAGGGTGAGAACAGTGGCTCAAAAATGACGAGCGGGGAGGGCGAGAGCAGTGGCTCAACGATAACGAGCGGCGAAGGCAGCAAAAGCGGAGAGGGTGAGGGCGAGAACAGTGGCTCAAAAATGATGAGCGGAGAGGGCGAGAACAGTGGCTCAACGACGACGAGCGGGGAGGATGACCACACCGGAGAGGGTGAGAACAGTGGCTCAAAAATGACGAGCGGAGAGGGTGAGAACAGTGGCTCAACGACGACGAGCGGGGAGGGCGACCACACCGGAGAGGGCGAGAACAGTGGCTC